TGAAATTTTAAGCATGTGTTTATAAAAAATAGGTGAATTTTTGAAAAAATATCAAAAAAATATTTTACATGAAATAAATTGATCAAAATACCCCTGAAAATTTTTTGGAGGTATTTTGATTATTATTTTTTTACAGATAATGTTTTTAATATTTTTATTGGGTGCCATGATGATAAGAACACACACTTAAAATTTCAAGTGATTTGAATCTGTAGAAAAATAAGATAAAATTCATGCACTACTAAATATCCATTATCGTCAGATCGGCCCAAATTCAATCTGAGCCGTTGGGCTCACATTTTCTTATGAGGTAGTAGGCTAATCTCATCTTTTCCCTATATATATATACATATATATATGGGAAAAGTTTATATAAGTTTGCAACATTAAAATGTAGAATTATAGGTGCATCTCAAAAATCTATTGAAGAATGTTGTTTCAATGTTGAAAAACCCTCTAATTGATCATCTTGACATCATGATGTATGAATATGAAAAAAAAAAATATATCGAGTCTCAGAAATAATGTATCTTGTAACACATTATCTACACCGTCCATTTTCAAGATTTTCATATATTTATGGATTTGATTGATTTTAGCCATTTTTGGATTTTTAAATAATCCTAAGAATATTTTACACCAAAATTACATGTTATAATAAAGTTTGGAGGTGCGTCTTAATTGGATTGTTTATGGTTTCAACCTAATAGAAACCACATCATATATATATATGGAAAATGCTTCTGTGAGCCAACGGGTTCACAAGAAAAATGAGTCCAATGGTCCAGATTGAATCTAGGTCAATCTAACGATCATGGATGCTTGATAGTGTTTGAATTTTAATTTTTTTTTCTACAAATCTAAATCACTTAAAATTTTAGAAGTGTTTTGATAAAAAAATAGGTGAATATTCGAAAAATATTTTTAAAATACTTTATATGAAAAAATTGACCAAAATACCCCCGTAAATTATTGGGGGCATTTTGGTTATTTTTATTTCTGCGGATTATTTTTGTTATATTTTTATTAGGTGCAACTTGATGAAAAGAACGTTCACCTAAAATTTCAAGTGATTTGGATTGATAGAAAAAATTAAAATTCAAACATTCTTAGTCGTCGGATGGGTCCAGATTTAATCACGATAGTTGCGTTTATACTAGTCTTTAAGTTAGTGGGTTCATCCTAGCATCTTTATATATATATATATATATTTATAAATGGGGTCACATAAAAAGCTTCCCTTGGCTAAATTACAA